TGTTGCCTCCTCTGTATAACCCACATCACTCCTGCAGCTGTGTTCCTTGTCTTTTCAGTCCCGTGGGGGCTCGGGTGTATGTGATAGGCGTGTCTCATCTGCTGTAGCCCCTCTCCCAAATCATACCTTTTTGTTGATAAAATACTTGAAATTGAGGAAGCATTCTAAAAATCTCGAATTTTGTTTGTTTTGTCTTTTGAGACATGGTTTCATGGAACCCAGACTGGCCTCGAACTTGCTCTGCTGCAAAGGTAGCCTTATATTCCTGATCCTCCTGTCTCCACCCATTGACAAACATGTGCCTTTAGCAGTGGGATTATTCGAGACTTGAGAAAGCTATCATCATCTGTATCCGAAACCTTCTGAAGAGGTGGTAGAGCCTCTAGGGTAAGTAGGAGAGTAGGGTGTTTGGCTGTCCCGTTTCATGACGTAGTGGAAACATTAAGTTTAAATTTGATGTATTGAGCCAAATACAGTAAGATCTGGTAAACTGGGGGGGGGGGGGGGCGGGGGGGTGACCGTGGTGACTGTTGTTTCCTGTTGCACAGCCTCCTTGATGTTTGAGACCTGCCAGGTCTCAAGGCACTAGGGGGATAGTGATGACCAAGAAAAATCCAGTCCTTGACTTTACAGAACTTGGAAGACTGAGCTGTAGGAAAGCCTGGCCTTACTGCAGTTGCTACAGAGGCACATGAGGAGACATTAATCAGATATTCTGTGTTTAGAAAGACATTGTTTTCAGAGGTTAAGTATTAAATTAATATCTCATGTTAGCCATTATTGTATTAGGCAGCCTAAGTACCAAATTTTAGCTATGGGAAAAAATGCCCTGGCTTTTTTTTGTTTTGTTTTTTTCTAGCTTTAATCCTTGTCTTGAATGTTTATTATAGGGCATTTGGTTTCCAGAGGTTGTCACATTATTCTTTTATGCCCTACAGATCAGATTTTTTTCTGCAGTTGGTTACTAGAGCATCTTGAGTGACAGTAGAGAACAAGATCTGGGTATTTATGGAGATACTTTCCTGTGATCCTCTCTGCACTGGCCCTCCACAGAGACCTCTGTTTTTCCAGTATGTGTGTCACTGTCCTTTTGAGCTGATTCATGCCTGAATACAAACTCACATTCTTCATATTTTAGTATAGTGATAGTTTGTGTTTTAATAAATAAAGCTTGCCTGAATATCGAAAGCAAAACTAGCCACCCTAGTCAGCCATACAGGCCAGGCAGTGGTGGCACACACCTTTAATCCCAGCAGCCACACTCGTTAGCCATAGAGGCCGAGCAGTAGTGGTGCATACTTTTAATCCCAACACTAGAGAGGAATATAAGAGGGGAGAAGACGGGAGCTCAGGGTCTTAGTCTCAGTCTGTGGTTTGCTGGAGAGCAGTTTAGTCTGAGGTTTAGTGGATTGCCCATTTGATCTGAGCGTTGGTAGAAATGAGAACTCTATAGTGGCTTGGCTGCTTTGCTTTTCTGATCTTTACCTTGAACCCAAGTATCTGTTTTTATTATTTGTGCTACATTTTAGGACTTAGAAGGTTTGACTCAAGCTGATGGATGGAATTTAGGGGATGTCACTGAGAATAGGAGGTTGGGCTACTCTTTCCTTGTCCTCACACAACAGTCTAGTGGAGATAAATACACTTGGTATAACTGTTGCCATTTCAGAAGTTACCTCTGCTCAGTCTTTATGCTTCTCACGGCCTTTCTGTAGTCTTGGGGTTTGTTTTCTTGTGTACATCCCTTCCTCTCAAATGGTCTCTCTAATTCTCATGTCTTTTTCATCTCTTTCTTCTTTCCTCCTTCACTTTTTAAGGGGTGTGGGATAGGAGTCTCTTAAAACAGGACCTCAGGTGATAACCCAGTGTGGTGTCAAACTCTTGATCCTCCTGCCTCAGCCCTGAACTGAAATACAGGCATATGTTATCATATCTGGGTCCTCTGCAAGAGCAAGTACTGTTAACTACTGAGCCATCTCGCCAGCTCTCAGATGATTGATGTTGATACAATTTAGTGGATGCTTCTGACCCAGTGAGGGATACTCAGTGGCTGTGACCCTTCCATTTCACATGCTGAGTTTATTGACTTGGCAGTAGACACCAGGCCAAGTTCAAAGTGGGATGGTTGGTGCTGGGACGCTGTTGCTTTAGGTTCTTCTGTTACGTTCTCATTTTGCAGAGGTGGTCAAATATTCCTCTATTATTTGAGCTATTAGTGTAGTTACTCCTAGTTGGTAAGTTCTGTTTAGACATTTCATTGATCTTCATTGCAACTCTTAAAGGTTAGTGACAATATGTTCATTTTACAGGCAAAGAAATTATATTAAAACCTTAAATGACTACAATTCACACATAATTGGTGGTAGAGCCTAGACCTGAATGAGACTGAGCCTGCTGTGTTAAAGTTCCTCTTCTAATAACTTTATCTGTCCTTGAATGAAGAACCTGCCCTGTTCATTCCTAAGCCTTGCTTCTGGAGACTTTTGTCATGGCTTTTAGTTTTCAGCAACTGTTTGCCAAAGGGTAAAGCAGAGGTTAAAGTCTTACAGAATGCATTGCTATCTCAGTATGGCTTTGCCCTGGTGGCTCTCTAAGGCCTTTACTTAGAATTTCCCTAGGGACGATTTGGCGAGTAGAGCCTAGGCTGACTGCTAAATTAGTTACTACCTCCAGTTACAGTAGACTGTACCCAGCCAAACCTCCATAATTAGACCTGTGCTGTGCCTAACTAGGAAAGGTCAGGCTGAGGTGAGGGATTGTAAATATGAGAACTGGACCGCCTGTGGGAAGGAGTACAAGCATAAGACCCTCAGGCCCTCTGCCTCTTGCTGGTTCTCCTTAGAAGCATGGCGTTGGAAAGCCTTTAAAAAAATTGTGTCATGTTCTTACAGTCGCTCAGGATCTGCAGAGTGGGTGTGCAGACAGAAAAAAAGGCTACTTCCTGAAGTGTTTATGCAGAGGACCATTTTTAGAGAGTTATGTGGAATGGAATTGGGTCTGACGTCAGCTCTCAGTGTGCTTTCTCTTCCCTGGAGGAATAGCCCATATGGAAAGACAGATGTGAGACTAAAGTCTTCTTTACATATAAATAAAGCTGAGAGGGAACGGGAACAGTGCTGGGAGGTGAAGTTGGAAGAGAACAGCTTGCTGCAAGCCATTGAAAACCAGGTTGCTCTTATGTGTACTAGAAAAAAAAATCTTCCCTTAGGTATAACCTAAATATATAAAATGTCAGTATACAGCTAATTGTTTTAAGAGAAAATACCTGTGGAGCCACTTCAAAAGACAAAAAGTAGAATATCCCAGACCCCTCTGGGCTCCTGGTGCTTCCCATGATCAGGTCTACACCATCTCCGAGTAGTCTGCTGGCTTTACAATAATAGTTTCCTTGCTTTTGTCTTTATTTTAAATTTTGCTCCCATTTCTTTATATGTGTGCACATGAGTTGCTTGTGTATATGTGTGTGGACACACATGTGCTGTGGCCTGCACATGGAGGTCAGAGGACAGCTTGTGAGAGTCAGTTCTCTCCTACCATCTGGCTCTCGGGGATTAGACTCAGATCCTCAGCCCAACTTTAAACATTCTTGAACTTGTCTTATGGTTCAGGTATTTCTGCTAGATATATTTTAGGTTGAGTTATATGAAATTATCATTTTTATATCAGACACTGAATATTAATGATTTAATATATTGATCTTATATCTGGGTGTATTATTATTATACCTGGGGAGTTTAAGATGGTTTCCTATGATTCTAAGATCATAGGAAGTACAGATGCTCAGTTTTGGTAGTTGTACCAAATGGTTTTCTGAAAAATTTTGTACCAACTTAATGTAAAATTGTTGCTTTATATTATGGCCAACATTTTTTATGTTAATTTTTTTTCTAGACAAGGTTTGTCTGTGTAGCTCTGGCTGTCCTGGAACTCACTCTGTAGTCCAGGCTGTTTTTGAACATAGAGATCCACCTGCCTCTGCCTCCTGAGTGCTAGGATTAAAGGCATACACCACCACTGCCTGGCTTCTATGGTAATTTATTTCATGGTGATTTAACTTTACATTTTTTGCTTACTAGTGAGATTGAGCACTTTTCATTTGTTTCATATAGAGATTTTTGAAATACCTGTTAAAGGAGCTTGCCCATTTCTTGTTGGGTGTTTATTTCACTGATTGACAGGAGCTCATCTTATATACTGTGAACCTCAATTGCTTGCTGTGTGTCATCCGTCTTCTAGTCTGCACTTAGGATTTGATTTTCAGAGCATATTGATACTCACCGTAGGCTGTGAGCAATCGGACGACTGCTGCCGATCTCCGGTACTTTTCTTGCTCTTCACTCCTGCCACTGCAGTTCCTCCGCTGTGCTGAGCCTGCTGTAGAGGCAGTTCTGTGCCTCTGTCCATTCTCTTGACTTCTTGCAGGAGATGCTCATGATCTTGTGGTATTGTTATGAGGTGCAGTTCCGCCTCTGGCTCCATCAGGAGAGTCAGACTGACACCTGGTCAATCATGTCCTTTAGACCTTTGGATAAGATAGATGACGGGAGCAGTAGTGAACATAAGGTTGCTTTTCTTCTTTTTGGTTTTTCGAGACAGGGTTTCTCTGTAGCTTTGGAGCATGTGTCCTGGAACTAGCTCTGTAGACCAGGCTGGCCTCGAACTCACAGAGATCTGCCTGCCTCTGCCTCCCAAGTGCTGGGATTAAAGGCGTGCGCCACCACCACCTGGCTAAGACTGCTTTTCTAGAGTTAGGCAGTACACTCAAGTTGGCTATTTAAATGTCTGTGGGACTGGAGGGACTTAAAAACATAGACTGACTGCAGACCACTTCCAGCTGCCTACGTGCTTGTCTGTCCCCGGCAGCCTCAGGGGTAGCCGTTGCTATTAGCCTAGGTAGCGTGGGTATTCAGCATTATGGGAATTCTTAGGGTTGTAACTGGGTCTCTCCTCTGCAACAATCTTCATAATTACTGATGAAGAGCTCACCTTTTCCGTTTCAGATTGACATCAGCAAATGCCATTACTTAGTGGACTTGGATACCATGAGAGAAACACCCTGGGAGCCAAACTATTCATCCAACAAAGAAGAGTGGATCAGCCTGGCCCATAGACCATTCCTGGATGCATCTAGGTATGTGACTTCAATTGTGACAGCTGTCCTAATCAGTGGTAAAAATGAATGCTGGAGTTGAGCGAATCCAGTCCTTGACTGTCTTGAGTAATTCTTATTTCCTTTTTATTTGGTACAGTTTTGTCCATGTGTACTGAGAAATTTAAGAGTACTCTCTTCTTGAGGCCTCGGAATGCAAAGTACATTCTATTATTATCGTAATGAAAGGTCCTGAGTAGTACAGGTAGGTCTATGTGGAAACTCAAATAAGGTTTTGATTAGTTTTGGTAACTGACTTTAACTGACTTACCCGAGCGTTCTGACATTGCTAACAAGATTAACTGTACTTTGAGGAGCTTGATGTCCATAACTCAGAATCAAACCTCCGCCAAGTACTGGTAGGACTTCTATTTTGGTTGTTTGAAACAGGGTCTCACTCTGTAGCTCAGGACTGGCCTGGAACTCATTTAGGTAGACAAGGCTAGTCTTGAACTTGGTGGTGATCCTCCTGCCTCAGCCTCCATTTGCTGGACTGCAAGTATGCCTCGCCACATCAGCAGATCTAGTGAAGGTTTTAAAGCAAAGACCAGGACTTGGCTGGCTCTTCAGAAAGGCCTGGGAATTAGGGGCAAAAAAAATGATGGGAAGTGAGAATTGGAGTGTGAGGGTGTTTGTAGACTTACTGTTTGAGGGTGAAAGAGGGAGACAGCTAATAAACATAAGAAAAGAGGAAATAGTCAGGAGACAGAGGCAAGCAAATCTCTGAGTTTGAGGTCAACTTGGTCTACAGAGCAAGTTCCAGGACAACCAGGGCTGTTACGCAGAGAAACCCTGTCTTGAAAACCAAAACAAAACAAAACACAAAACAAACAAGCAAAACCAAGGAAAAAAAAAGGAGGAACTAGATTTATATATAAAGGTTCTTTAGAGAAAGAGATCCTATTGAATGTGTTTGTAATTATGAGAGGGGATTGTTAGGAGCACACTGGAGGCCAGAAGTAGCTGGTCAGTCCAAGAAGATAGAAGCCTCAGAACAAATTGGCTTCGATTCATGCTACTGTAACCAGTTACCCGAGGCTGAGTGGCTAAACCAGCAGACACTTTATTCTGCATAGTCTCGGAGGCTGGAAGTTTAAGGCCAGTGTGCTAGCGGTCAGATTCGGGTGCAGGACCTCCTTCTACCTAATGTGAGAAAGAGGATGAACTCCCTTCTGGAGGGCTCTCCACCATCGCACTGGGGGTCAAATTGGAGCATAGGAGAAAAACACTTTTTGAAATGGGTCTTATTATGTAGCCTTGGCTGGCTTAAAACTTGCAATCCTCCTGCCTCCACTTCCCAACTAAGGAATTACAGGTGTGAGTCATTTAGTCTAGAATAACATTTGTAAGTAGAGCTGTTATAGATTAAGTTTCTCTTATTTGAAATACTTGGGACTAGAAGTGTTTTAGCCGTCAAATTGTGGAATGTGTACAAATATATTTAATAAGATATCTTAGGGACAGGATCCAGGTCTACTCACAAATTCATTTATGTTTCATATATACTTTATACAGATGCCTTGTTGGTAAATTCTTTTAAAAAGATACTTGATTTTCAATCAGATGTGGGGGTGGTGTCCACAGAGGCCAGGGGCCTTGGATCCTCTAAAGCTGGACTTACAGGCAGCTAGCGGTGAGCTACCTGATGTGGGTGCTGGGAATCAAACCTGGGTTCTCTGGAAGAGCTGCATTGCTCTTAACTGCCAAGCTGTCTCTCCAGCCCTGTAGTCATTTTACATGATTTTGTTTAAGAAACAAGTTAATGGTGTGGCTCTTGGAAATTTTCAAACAATCAGATCAGGTCTACTCAGTTTTCATAAATACCCACTGGCACGTTTTGGGCAGGTGAGTTTTCTTCCTCTTTGGGTCAGTATTGAACAGTGAGATTGGTGAATTGTACGATGTAAGCATGTTTAGCTTTGTAGGAAGCTGCTGTTCTGCGTTCCTACCCGCAGAGAGTGAGGATTTGCCTGCTTGTGGTAGGGACTGTAGTATGTATCTTGATGTGGCTTTAGTTTATTTTTCTCTAGTGATATTTGGTGTGAAACATCTTCTTATATGCCTGTTTGTCATCTGTTAGTCTGTTTGGATGAGCTGTTTTTAAAGTCTTTGGGGCCTGCTTGACTGCCTGTTTTCCTTCCTTCCTTTCTTCCTTTCCTCCTCCTTCCTTTTTTCCAGCTCTGGGGTTTGAACCCAGGGCCTATGGTTGCTAGACAAGTGCTCTGCCATTGAGCTAACCCTCTAGCTCCCTTGACTTTTTTGCTTGCTAGTTTTTGTTGTTGTTGTTGTTTGTTTTGTTTTTCTTGGCAGGGTTTCTCTATGTAGCCCTGGCTGTTCTAGAACTCACTTTGTAGACCAGGATGGCCTTAAACTGACAGAGATGTGTTTCACCATTGCCTGGCTCTTTTGACTCATTTTTAATTAAATCTGTCCTGTTAGTCTATCTTATTGTTCTTGTTCTCTTGTTAATGTTTTTTACAAAAAGCAAATATTTCAATTTTAATAAAATTCATCTTATCGATTATTTTCTCTCCTTCTACTGTGTGAGTCCTGGGGATTGAACTTGGGTTTTCAGGCTTGGTGTCAAGCACCTGTACCTGCTGAGCCATCTTGCCAGGTCAATGGCCATTTTCTTCTCCAATTATGTATAGATTGTAGCCAACTAGTAAGGCAAATTTAACCATTTTTTTAAAAAAGGACTTTATTGGAATATAATTTACATGCCAAATTATACAACCACAATTGTATGTTACCTTGCCAGCCCCAACTCATAATTTTTTATTTATAGGTTTGAATTTTTGGCCGTTTGTTATAAGTGGGATCATATAATGTGTGTGGTTTGTGTTTGGTTTCCATGATGGTCTGTATGAGAAAAGTCACCCATAGGCTCAAATTTGAACATTTGGTCCCCAGTTGGTGGCGCTGTTTGTGGAGGTTATGGGACCTTCTGAGGTAGAGCCTTGCTGGAGGAAGCATGCTGGGGCTGTGCTGTTTGATGTTTTACTCCTTTGCTCTTTTAGCTTTTTTGAGGGGGGCACCACCCAGCTCCCAAATAAATCACACATAAAGACTTATTCTTAGTTATGGGTGCCTAGCCTTAGCTTGGCTTGTTACTTGCCAGCTTGTCTTAAATTACCCCAACTACCTTTTGCCTCTGGGCGTTTATCTTCTCTCACTTCTGTGTGTCTTACTTTCACTCTGACTCCGTGGCTGGCCGGGTGGCTGGCCCCTGTCGTCCTCCTCCCCTTGTTCTCTTGTTCTCCCTTTCCTTGGTTCTTCTATTTATATTCTCTGCTTGACCCATCTGTCTGTTCTCCTGCCTTTCTAGTGGTCATTCAGCTCTTTATTAGACCATTAGGTTTTTCAGACAGGGAAAGAATCACAGCTTCACAGAATTAAACAATGCAGCGTAAACAAAAGGCACACACCTTGAAACAATACTCCGGAACCAACAGGGGTGGGCTTTGAGAGTTACAGTCTCATCCCACTTGCACCTGGCTCCCTCTTCTTTCTGGGCATGAGTGGAACTGATCTGCCAGCTCAGCTGTAATGCTGCTGCCCTTACAGCTCTACCCCTGACACCATAAGCCGAAAGGAACTTCCTTCCGTAAGTTGTTTCTGATCATGGAGTTTGTAGTTTGTCACAGAAACAGAAAAGTAACTGATACAGCTTCTTTCTGTTCAGCATGTTTTTGAGGTTCATTCAGGCAATCAAATGTACCAGCCCTTGTCCCTGTTTATTGCTGAATATGTCCTTTTCTGTTGTTCATTCCTTCTTCTAGCTGATAGACTTTTGGACTTTTTCCACTTTTGGGCAGTACGAATAATGATGCTGTAAACGCATGTGGAGTTGATTGTGGTTAAGAAGCCAAGGCAGAGCATGGGAGACAGAAAGTCGTACATGAGGAATCTTCTAATTAGTGGTCATGGCTTTAATTTGATAACAAGTGAGCTGGGAAGGGCATTGAGGGGGTGAGAGATGGTGAAAGGTGGCAGGTTGTGAGTGGAGGAGCTTGCTGGAAGAGCGAAGTAGCAGTGGCGGCGTCAGAGTCTGTCCTCAGTGTGCGTGCTTCACCGTGCCTACTCCTGCCTGGTAGAGTGTTTGGGCTAGATCTTACCGTGCTGAGAAAGCGGTGACAGCGAGACTCAGGCTAGGGAAGAGCTTCATCTTTGAGGAACAGCAGACCTAAGCAACCTTTCTGTCAGCTGGATGCCTTTAGGGGGCTTCACTTTTGTTTTTGTTTTTGTTTTTAGAGATGGGGCCATACTTTGTAGCTCTAGCTATCATGGAGACCAAGCTGGCCACCTGCCTCTCCTCTGGAGTGGTGGCATTAAAGGCATGTACCACTGCGCCCAGAATGTTTTAATTCCTTATAACTTGTGTGCAGGGGTAGATTTTCCAGATAGTACAGTGAAAAAGAAAGAAAACCCACTGACTTGTGAATGGAAGAGGTCAGGTTCTCACAGAAACATGGGGTATAGTGAGAGTGTGGAGTCGGAGGACCTGGGACTTTAATCCTGGCTGATTGCTGTCAGTACCTCCACATCTGGAAAGCAAGGGTGTTTTCTACATTTGTACGGTTAGATGAGAGTGAGCGAAAGGGCTGTCAGCTTAGGAAGTGTTCCAACAAGTCAGATCCTTGAGCAAGCGCTGCAGCTCCCGATCACACTGTCAGTACATTTCTCTGTAGATTTGTGCAGCTCCCAATCACACTGTTGGTACATTTCTCTGTAGATTTGTGCAGTTTACTTGATGCATTTTGCTGACATTCCTTGCTGACATAGTCTAAATAGGGCCTCAGCTCTCTGAAACAGAGAGAAGCAAGCAGGATAATTTGCCAACACATAAAAAAAAAAAAACAAAAAAAACAAAAAAAAAACAACACTCTTGAGAGAATGTTACTGGAGAGTCTTTGCAAGAGCGAAGCAGCTTAAAGATTATTGGGACATTTTTGTGACCAGTGACCATGAAGACACTGGTT